ACACATAACCTATACTATATTATAAAATATTTGACAAAAACTTTTAAAAACCACTTTTTATTTGTAAATTACTGTTTATTAATACATATTAATTAAAACTTAAGATTGCTAATAGAATGTGCGTAAGTACAACTTATTAAAGCTCCATATCTGAATTCGTGTAACTAACTGCAGATAAACATAATCAAATACATGATAAACATCTCATTTTAAATATAAAAAATCTAAAATATAATTATGATAATCTTTGAGTTCTAATAGAATACTTAATTATTATCTTTATAAAATGTTATATTATTAACAAAAGCTCGATTAGCTACTTAGGATGAACCACACGGAGGCGATCATAAATTATTTCGTTATTAAACTTAAATTAAATTATAATAAAAAATGATAACTTTTAAATAGTTGATTTGATATTAACATTGATATATTTTTTTTCAAAATTTTATGATATCTTCAAATTTATATTTTATTCAAAAATAAAATATTTATTGTTTTTTTTAAAACACATAAAATCGTATTATAATATCGATACAGACAAATAATAAAATAGAACATTAAGATCGAAATATGTCTCGCTGCATTGTACGAATACCTTTCTAATATTCATAAAATAAACTAAACTTATTTTTATTAAATAATCCCTAAGTATTGCAAGTAGTTAATTATTGGTTGTAAAGCACCACAAAAATGACAAATTAAATATTATTTCATAAATTCATATAAAATATAATTTATTTTGAATTGATCAATCCAACAACTTTTTTTCTGAAAAGGAATTTACTAATTAATATATATAAAAAAACAAGAAAACGATCCCATGTTTATCTTACTAGATTGAGATTCATAAATATATTTTAGAGTAAATTACAAAAGTCGTCCTTGTTGTTTATCAAAATTTTGGTGTTCGTCATCTTAATTCAATAAGTACACTTACAACTCTAATGTTGCGTTTTGTTTCTGTTCGGCTACATAGGTTTAAGTACGGCTAAGAGCTTTTGTTAACTTGGGTATTGTGTCATTATGAGAGGCATTTGTGTTATTTTGCCTTTTCTTTTTAAAATCAGTGTACAAGTCATTAAAGCTTAGAAAAAAATCATTTATCATAAATCCACCGCTCTGCGTGACACCCTTTCACCGGAACCCTCACATTGTCCAGGAGCCCCTCACTGTCTCTATCCCTCATCTTCCACCATCAATCATTGGCAACTTGTGCCTATTTGACATCCTCCATCCCTTTCACAGTCCAAAAGAACTCACATCCGAGTAAATACCTAACTCTCAGGATAAGAAAGATGATATATGGAGCGACCTATTAAGGTAAATCACAAGAAAAACATATGTATAATGGCAACACACAAACTTTAATGAAAAAAAAATGTAATTGCCTTCATTTCAATGAATTACTCGAAACCGGCAGTTGTTAATAAAAACTGTATAAAGCACAAGAGAAGAGGAAGTTGAGCACTATAAGTGGAAGTTGGGTCTTCATGTGTTGTATCTAAAGAGAGGAAGAGGGATTTTTCTTGACTTGAAAAAGTTTTCTTGGAGTCTTTGCATGTGGGTTTGAATTGAAGCTTTGAATTATTTGTAGGTGAGGCGAAGGATAGAGGTGGAAGGTGATAGGAAAGAGGATGATATAAGAAATTGGGGGTGGGGGAGTTACAAGGATAAAGATAGAGATGATGTAAGCGGGGTGGGGTTGAAGGATGAAGGTGTAGAAGGGTTGTTATGGTGGATGGAAATGTCGGAGTTGTAGTCATCGACGACGGGATAGAGGCGATGACCATGGAATTCGGTGATAGAAAGCCAACTTGGTTTTGACTATGGGTTTTGCATTTTTTCCTTTCCCCTTTTTTAAATGTTTATAAGGATTTGTACATATAATCTGAGCATTTGTATATTATTTTATTCTAAAATAAAATGCAAGGAAAAAAAGACCAAAATGCAAAATGCCCCTCACATGTGAGGGGCATGTGATGACGCTTAAGAGTGGTCTCTAACAATAGTTAGACCCAAGTACCTAAACTAAAAGGAAATATAAACTACATGATTATGGATGTACTTATTATGTAGTGCCTGCATTTTTGGCTTGCATTTATCTAAATTGTCATTTCTAGAATCTTTGTGAAAATCTTACTGTCAGTTGAAAGTATCGAGCCTTGAACTATATGGTTTACCCGTACGAGTTGCCTGGTTGAAAAGATGACATTCTAGGAAGTTTTGGGGCTCGAAAGTGGTTCAAGCGACTTACCGAGAGGGTAAAGTCGCCTAAGCTACTAGATGGTGGTTTCAAGAAGGCACGAAGAGAGGAACGAGTGGCCTTGGTCGAGCGACATAGACTGCTGGGCTAGGCACCCAAGCCGCGAGAATGTTGTTCCACGAATGACACAGTGAGAAAGAGGTAGTGGCATAGGAAGGCGAAGGGGCCACGACGCGAGGAATCATGCAATAGTAGTCGTGCCTACTTTCGGGGCGCTTAATGGAACATAAGGAGGTTGCGCATAATGTATGTTTGTGTGTGGGAAACAAGTTCGCGCGACTTAGGGATCGGGTGATCCAAGTCGTGCTGTAAGTTGCCTGGGCGTTTGTGGCATACTTCATCCCCTTTCTTCTTGGTACAATTTTTTTTTCATTCTTTCTTCCTCCTTTCTTCTTACCTCTCAAGAACCCTTCCCTTTCTTTACCCTAATCATCTTTGGAGTGTGAAATCTACTTTTGGAAGGCGTATCTTGGTGATTTGTAGTTCCAAGAAGTGGAAGGTAAGATCTAAGTGTCCCTCTTCTAATCTACGGTTTTAATCTATTTGCACTTATAACTTCTTCCGTATGGTTCATTTTTGGTATTTTTGGAGTAAAGGAAGAATTTTGGGAGTTTCACACCTTAAATTGGGAGTTTTGGCTCAAAGTCCTCAATCCTTCATCAAAGAAAGCTTAAGCTTTGGGTAAAACATAGATTTAGCATAAATCTAGCAAGATGATCTTTAGTTGATTTGCAAAACTACATACATGTCAAATATGTCTATTTTGAGTTTCATATACATTTCTTTGAGTTATTTCACTTTTGATGAGTTTTATGAATGTTCGTACTTTTGGGCATATTGGATATGTTTTGGGCTTCAATCTTGAAAGATTGTCATAATAGATTTATTTGGTTAATTGGAAACATAAACCTTCAAAGATTTATCCAAGTGATATTTATTGCATCAAATGAGGTTTCTTGAATATTTGGATAACTGGAGAGTAATGTATGGTTTTAATTTGTAGAAATTGCTATTTTTGGGATTTGCCCAACTTATGAACTTTAATAGCGGCACTTGAGCACTTTTGATTATAAACGTGCAAAACTTGATATACACTCATTGTTGGCTTTGTGGGAACCTTGAGACCATAAACCCTTTAGTTTTGGACTTCTTTCTTTAATGCTCAAATTAACTGATGGTTTTGGACTTCTTTCTTTTATGCTCAAATAAACTGATGGTCCTAGGACTATTGGCTTGTAAGTGTAACTCTATGGTGTGTAAGTAGGTGTTAAGATTGGGGGTATTGAGGAGATGAACTCATGCCAGTCGAGCTCTAGGACCTTGAGTATTCCAGTGGAAACTTGAGAGAAGTTAAACACCGAGGTCGTGATCTTAAGACGCAACTTGATAACATTGACACATGATTTAATTTATATTTCGCCATAGTCGACAAACGGGTCTCCCCGTCACATAAAGGTGTTACTTTGGGAACCGAGTCTATTCATGTTGTTGGTGATTTTGGAGTATAACGTATTATCTTATTCTGAACGTTTTGTGGAACGAATCCTATTAACTTATATTGGAGAATGAGTTTGGATGTCGATTTTGAATTAAAGCAAACATTTATTGAATCCCATTTTATAAGCGGTAGGTTTTGTAAATATATTCCTTTGATTTTAAATGTCGTCTAAATAAAGAATTATTCATTCAAGAGAATTCTTCGGATTTTACTGTTTTAAGTTTATGGGATAAACTGCTTTAACATACTAGGCGTTAAGTCTAACACTTTTTTTTATAGACATGTGTATCATGTCTTACTTAGATCTGAACGTCGTTCAGAGTTTTGTAGAGATTCCAATAGAATGACTTTAGAGGTATCACCCGATTTTGAATATAACAAATTTAGTGATTTTAGTAACATCTATCTTATTATGATTTTGTTTAGGAATTAGATAGTCCTATAATTTGGATGATTTTTGTAATTTACTATATATTTTATCTTTAAAAATACCCTTTTTATTTTATAATGTTTATAAAAACCATATTTTTAATAAAATCCCGTACGAGGGACTAAAGGTGGAGTTGACAGATAGTGAAGGGATGATTTTTGTGATTGATCCTGGAAGGGTTTGATCGAAATCTGTATCTCGATCTCAAATACTTTTCTTTGTATTTTATCGTGGGATAGAAAGCGTATATATCGTCTCTCTCTCTCCCTCCCTCATGACCTAGCATACCCCCCATCGCCACCGTCTTCCAACCATCATCCCCTGTCGCCACCCTTTTCAAAATCATACCACCAGACGGAAATCTCCCTCCTGCTCTTAGATTCACGGCGATTACGTTAAAACCGTCGTGAATAAGTTAGTCAATTTAGGGTTTTAGAAGAAGGAAAAGTAAGTAATTTTAGGGTTTTCAAGTTATTGGGATTCTTAATTTGTCGCCGCGGATCAGTGTGTCTAATCCTTGCCAAAAACGACATCCATTTTGGCCGAAATCGAATTTGTTATATTTGTTTTTTAAACATGCGAGGATTGCAGAAATCAAAAAGGGTTTCTTGGGCGTCAGATTTAAATCTTTGTCAGGTATACATGATATTGAAAAGGGTTCAATTGAATTTATACATGCGATTGTGATTTCAGTCACTTTATATCAGGTTATTGCTGATGATACCTAAATGAAAACTTGGGAGATTTGTTGGACTGTGAATTGCTCCCACATTCCATAACAGAGTTGCACTGCATTTTCACTCTGGATGTCAAATAGGCCACCTTTCAACTTAAAAATCGATATAAACTCAAACTTTTCCAGGGCAATATAGCAACATGTGTTAAAACCTGAAATACTAAAATTGAAATAATGATGGTGCTGCATTTGCAACGACATCCATACGGAGTGCAGTTTAAGCATACTTGGTTTGACAATAAAATTTAAATGCCGTTCTTTTATTGGGATGGGAGTTCATAGTGTTTCTTGACATACGTTAATCAGGCTGTGGGAATTTGGGTGGTCTAATTTTTTGAATTCAGATACTAATAATATCTGTGGACGAATCAGTTTAATTTTGGACATGTTATATTGTTTTCATGGTTTTGAGAATGCTTTGTTGTGACATATTTCTTTGGATAATAAGCTCTGATTTTGTGGATTGTATTTCCATAGTGCCAAAAAGAGGTGAAGAATGATTCTTTTTCTTTGAAATGGATAAAACCTGTATATCAAGCTTATTTTAAATGAATTCTGTTCAACAATGAAGATATTTCCTTATGTTTTTTTTTGGTCTAGAAGAGCATTAAATTTTGTTCGTTTCAACTTGGTGAATAAGAGTTCTTTCTTGACACACTCGTACTAAGAATGTTAACTAAAGTAGTTCTGCTGATGATAGCTTTTGAATTGAGTTTTAGCATGCAAAGTGGATCGTTGCTTGTATTATCTTAGGATGCTCTAAGCAAAATAGCGAATAGCGCTTCACGCAGTCCTTCATGCAGTCTCTATGTTAGCGCCTTGTTATGCCACATAAAAACTTTGTTTCACCTAGCTCATTGAGTCATATATGAAATAGATTTGCTTTGTATTTGAGGCTGAAAATAAAGTAAAATGACCAACTCAACTTGTTTGTACTAGTCCATGTGAGATCAACATTGTCTTTGTAGACCTGAGTTCACTGACATAATTGTTTATGTAAAGGAAGATGTCTCTTCTTGCAAATGCAACACTGATTTAGACACATGGAAAAGGAACATGAATGTGTATGTGTATGTTCATTTGAGCAGACACTTTGGTTGACATACTGGTACACTGCTGTCATGGAAAGGCATGTATTAGGATGAAGTAAAACTGAAGTAAATGAAAAATAATTGATTTATGCGTAGGCTATGAACATGGATGAAAGGAGGTAGAGTTTGGAGTTGAATATAACTGAGAACAATTTAGACAAAATCCACAGAATGTGATATTTGCTGAAGATAGCAATTCAGACCGTTTATTCTGTTGGAGTAAATATGGCAACGTTGTAACTGTTTCAGGTACTACAAGCATAGAATAAGCAAAGAATGGTATTTGGAAAGAAAGTATCAAGCGCCCCTTTACTGGAAGGGAGAATTTCAATGTGTAGATCTACCACAGGATAATTCAATTAAGTCATAATTCTAATTCAGAATTAATATTCTCGAAACAAAAAATTATGCAAAGGTCTGTGCTGTTAGGAAACAACTTGGTGACATTCAGATTTCCGGGAAGAATTAGGGCAAGGAAATGGCAAAAGTCAAAAGACACAGAGAACATTATAGAGAAACAAGGATCAGGGTTTCGGCCTCATCTAATCTGAAATAAGAAAATCGAACTTCTGAATTATAATGGGTAACCTGATTAATGTCGTATGTGTCATCACATTCCCTGGTATATTAGTATCTAACTGTCTAAATGAATCAGCTTCTTCAATAGCTTTGAATATTCAGCAAGGAAATTCAGTAATTGCATGTCATAAATGTGGAGTATATATCGCAGTTGATGCTTCAAAGCTAAAAATTCCTATCAGGCATGAGTAGTTGAGTACCAAGGGAGAGAAGCACATAGGCAATAGGTAGCACATGAGGAAGTTACAACATTGTTCAGTAAATCTAGTTGAATTGAAATTAGTATTTTGGTGTAAGAAATCACCTCGATACTGCTAAAAGAGGTGGTGTGCGATCTCATATACTTGGAGGTTATGGCCAGTGACTAGAAACAATGACTAATAAAGCAATTAAGGTGAAAATATATTATGACTTCAGATGTGGCTTTTCTCTGGTTTGCTCTCTATGCTCTTCCAACCTAGTTGGTAGGGACTCTATTTTTTCTAAGTTTCTTCCGACTAAAACTTCTCACAGCTTTCAATTTTTGTTAACCACTTTATCAATTGATAATTGTTCTTTGTCACGCTTGATGGAAATGCATATGCTGCAGATTTCGGAATTGCAACTCATCATTCATAAATCACCCTCTAAACTATTGTGAATGAGAAAGTGATTGGTGGTTTGTAATAAAAGCAGAGGCATGCTTTTTTTGTTTGTTGTGGTAAAGTACATGTTTATAGACAAATCAAGCTGTGTTAACATCTTTCTTATACCGTATCTGTATGGTTGGTCACCCGTACAATGTTTTCGAAATTTGTTGATGTGGTACAAGGTTTTGATTATTTGTGTACACAAGTTGATTTTGTAAGACAATCTTTCATCTGGATCTGGTTGTCTATGCTTTGCATTTGCCTGAGCTCCTGAGCAGACCTTGCCCCATAACTTAAAATGAAATTTGCAATGAGCCTTTGAACATTGTGACTACATGCAAAAATGTGTGGCTGTAATTTGGGCTCCATTGTATGCACTTGAAATAGTAAGCTACAGCTGTTGCTGACTCATTGAAAAATTATTCACTTCACAACGACCACGATATGGTCTGGAGGAAGCTTGGTCTTCCACGTCGGCCACCAAAAGTGATGCATAAAACTTGGAAAAATAGTGATCAATAACTGAAGACAGTGAATTGAAATGACTAATCTTAATAACCCTTTGTCTGTTGAATAAACAAGAATCAACAATAAATTGGGACATGGCATGCGGCTGCATTTAATCATTTGCTTATTGAGGATGATGGTGGTGTCCCACTTAGTTACTTAAGGTTCTTTTTTTGGCCAATAACAATGCAAGTAAAGGGAAATGTTGCCACTTGACTAACCAATTCTTCAGTGGTTGACATCCTTCACTGGAAACATTAATAAATATCAAACACACATGGATACATATGAAAGGAGGTAAGGGATCCTAGGTTCGGATGCTTTTTGCAGTATATGATAAATGCACCAAAAGGACTACCATATTGCACCAAGGCTCTCCAGCTTTGGTTGAGAGGGATGTCTGTGTATACAATCTTTTCCATTCATTTGAGAAAAAGGGTGGGATTTTCTACAATGTATCATAAACACATGAAAGGATGACCTTATGTTCGGCTCTCCAGCTTTTGATGGCTGTAGAGGGTTGTTTGTGTACACAATCTTTTCCATCAATTTTGAGAAGAGACGGGTTGTGTACTTCTGTTGCATTCTGATAACTCCATGGTGTAGAATGAAAATAGGGAAGTCTTTGTTTTGGGTAAGATAATGTAGAACATGTCAGAATTAATTTCATTCAGTAGATAGATTACTCATTATCACCAGTTTGTCTAGTCACTTGGATAAAGGGATGAAATCTTAAAATGAAATAAAATTTAACAGTCACTTGATATACTTTGTTTTTGTAATCTGTGATGTTAAAAAAGCACTCACATCCAGATCTTTTATCTTATTTTTGGTAAGGCACCACTTACCTTTCTTGTCTATATGTATGCGAGTCATGTTTGTGTGGAGGCCAAAATGATGATTATCAACTTGAAAACTATGTTAATAGGAGGTTTTGTAGTATACTTGGTGGGAAGTTAATTGCAACTACTAATACATGAAATTCAGGCAGGTCACATATTGGGAAACCATGCTTAAGTCACTTTCTGCTTCACTTGTAAATTCGACTATGGGATCGTAAATTATAAACCAATTTACAGGAATACACGGTACATAAAAAAATTGTGTTGCTTTATTAAGTGGAATCAGGTGTTAACATGGACTTAGAGAATGCTTGGGATATATGTCATGGGGTGGAATTCTATCTTATCCTTCAGAGCTAGTTTGCTCCATTTTGACAACTTAGGTATTTGCTACTGATCCTTCCAGTCTTTATAGTGTGTGTGTATTTAAATCAACACAGTTTACTCAACTTTGCCCCTCTCTCAAGTCTTAGCGATTTAATATGCTTCAAACTTTTGTTTAAAAAGGTTTGATGAAAGTACATGCTATGGTATCGACCATTGTGTGTAGGACCTAAAATGGACACAGTGACAAACCTTCCCAGAATAGGACCTAAAATGGAAATATCGAAACAAATTGTTTAGAATTCATTGCAGTTACTCAAATTATTACTTATCGGTACTATAAGCTGAGAGATGCAAGCAGCCTTCTAAACTTAACATGAATGGTGGAAAGGTTTGTTGATTTAGTTTTATAGCAGAGGAGTCAATGCCATTCTACTTTTGATTTGTCCCTTTTATGGGAAGGATTTTTTTTGTTGGCATTGAGGGAATGTGGAAAGAATTGAACTTTGGTGTCACATGAAGTTTGAATCTAGCAAAAGTATATGCAGCTAGGCAAGCAAGCAAGACCATTTGGTGCTATATCTTATGCACACAAACACACACCTCTAACATTAATGTGATGCAATTTATTCTTCTTCAAGTTGAAAACATATTCTATGACATGAATATTCACATGAAACAAGAAGGGATACACAGAAAACTTCAAAATTTGGGCTGTGCAATGTCTGAATTTATTGTTTTTGTGTGTTTCATTTGTCAGAATGGGAGCCTTTTTCTAATCATATTCACCCTTTGTTAGTGGTTTGCAATGTCATAGGATAGTTACAACTTGTTTGGTATAATCTTTTTATTTATGTAGGGTGTTAATATTGTCTTGAACCTGAAAAGTGTAGGGAGCATGTCATAACTTATTTTTAAATTGGCTAATGAATATTATAGGATGGAAAAAAAGTGAAGGCTGAGTACTGAAAAATGCAATATAGTGAAGCAGTTTGTAGATTGGTGATGGAAGGGGTAATTATAGTGCATGACCCTCTATGCAGATATATTAACATGTTCATCCTTAGAGTGGTGCACTGCAAATATATAGACAATTTGTGTTCCCACTTGAAATATGGAAGTAGAATAGAATGAGTAAGGTTAGGTTAAAAAACTTGAATGACTCCTCATTGACGTGGCATGCATGTATCTCTAAGAGTAGATTGTTAACAAAACATATGTATTATTAGCATGTTAAGATTTGTTTGTTTTCCATTGCTACACGTCTCAGATTGTATGATTGATGTTATTTAGTAGTTGAACAATCCTGTCAAGTGAAACAAGGCTCAGTTGGCTAGTTAATTGACTAACACCATTCTTTTATAATAGGTAAAGCTGTTTTTATCAGATGAATCTCCTTCCCAAGTTGGTTTGGGTGGTCAAGACCATCTCCAGGCAAAGGCATCATGGCCATGGCATTCAGCAGGAGCAGGCTCTGATGACAATTTGCCGCCAGGCTTTGAAGGAATTCAACCTGCAAACTTGTTGCAGAATAAGTTGTCTCAAGTTCCTCTCATCCAATGGAAATGTCCTTCCAGGGTAAGTTATTGCTCTTGTTGAATTTTACATCCTTGTCTCTGATTTTAAATGTTCTACAGTCCACAACCAATGGAATCAACTTGCCAACTACGTATTACAACATTGCTATCAGGTTATGCCATTATGAAAGTAAATTAGATATAACCTCAGTTTTTGTGTTGGATCGTATGCTGTTATAGCGGTCAAAATCTGATGCTGTCATAGGCCATTATGAGTAGATATAAACTTGGTTGCAGTCCATGCTTTGGACTGAGATATTAAATCCTTAATGATTTCGTCAAAACTGTGTATATTTGAGATGATAGCAACTTCGCATGCTCTAGTGCGTAAGAACATGAAAGTTTGCAATAACCTACAAGGCTTCAAAATATAGTTTTATTTAGTATTACCTCTTTATCATATTTAATCATCCTGTCACTAAACTTTCTGAAGTTCACCAGAAATGAGGTAATAAAAGATACTGATCAAGCAGCTTTGTCATAATAGAAGACGTTTTACATCTGCATTTATGCTTAGCCTTGCTGTGAACCTTTTATAGAAAATAAATTTTGGATTGTCTATTTGCCTTCCTATAAAGAAGAAAATTTTGGCTTCAATTTGTGCTTATGTTACAAGGGCAACTTAAAATGGATAACACGCTAGTGGATTGTGTTGGTCCTCAATATACTTGCAAAAGTCAAATCCGATGCCTATGATTTCTAGGATGAACTAAGAGCATATCTATACAAACTTCATCAAGAGGTACTGAATTCACTTTCCAAAGGATGTACTAATACAGTAATTGCATATTTTTTCCCATTTTGTCTATAGCTTGTCTTATTGTCTTTTACGAAGCTAGTTTCTCCATTCCCTGGTGGCCGGTTAATTTTTTTTTTCTGAATCACAATTGAATACAACTCTTTTGATGGTAGTTCTAATTTTCTATATGTATGGCCTTATTTTCATGATAACATCTAAATTTTTTCCTCTTCATCTGTCATTGGCTTTGTTGTGTGATTTGATGGTGTGAAAACCAACTTTAAAACACTCCACTCTCAGTGGTAACCAACATCATCATCATCATCGAAGCACTAGCCTTCATAGACTGTCTTAATTGGGAGTAGATTTTTTCCTCTTTGTTAGAAGGGATCAATTGTTTTTCACTTTTTCATAGATGGTAGAAATCATAACTTGTGACTGTGTTATGTGGTAAACATCCACATTAGGTGTGATCTTAAAGAGTAAGAATGTTAAACACCCTAGAACTAGGTAGTGGAACCTAAAAGGATAAAATTAAAGTATGTTTGATTGTCAGGTGGTAAATAGAAAGGCTTGGGAATTCAATTGGGACATGATGTGGAAAGAAATGGCGACATATTTATAGGGGTTACAAAGAGGTGGTTGAAGAATGTATAGGAATAAACAACAAACTAATGGTACTTGGTGGTGAGGCGATGGGATATGAAGTACTATCATGGAGAGTGCTTACCTGATTGTAAGAGGAGAGAATATAGAAAAGTAGAAACATCTGAGGAGTTGTATAAGAAGCCAAGAAAAATAAACATGGGAAAGATGTAAGCATGTGAGATTTTGTATACAAATCGAAGAAAAATATGGGGAAAAGGATGTAAATATACGAGTGTGTTGCATAAGAAGCTGAAAAAATATGGGGAAGATGTATGCATGTTAGGTAGGATAGAGGGAAAGGAGAGCCAAGGACATAAGGTGTACCTGATGCAGATTGTGGAGACTAGTAAGGATAATGAGGTTAAACAACTATTGGATGGGTTTTCTGGTAGTGGAAGTAGTGAGGGGAGCGTAGGGGAACTTTGGATTTCTTTGATGACATGCTAAGGGGTATGTTGAATTAGAGCATCGAGGTTAAGGAAGCACCAAGAAAGATGAAAGTATGCAAAGCTTTAGGCTTGATTGTACTCCATGGATGTTATCAGTGAGACAAGAAAAGATGTCCTATGACCGGAGGAAGCGTACATTGGACGTGATCTACAAAAACATACAAGATATATAAACTAGTAATGATTATAGTAAAACCGACTTTGACAACTCATTGAAAAACCAAATGTAACACCTATAAAACAAACATGCAATTTTGAGGAAAGTGTATCTCCAAACACCATTTTATGTTTTCCTCATACTAGCTTCCAGCAACGCGTTTTGCTAATGCTTAGATGTCATCAGATTTGATTGATTTGTTTTCAAGACAATGTGTCTTGGCTTGTTTGATGTTTGAAGGTGAAGGACCGACTGATGATGGGCTTCCAAGGAAGGCTTGTTTGTAGAAGCCACCAGTGCCTATAAACATCGTTCCTCAAAGACCATCCATTCAAACTAATGTTCAGCACCATAAGTATCTTCCTTGTTGATGTCATCGAAGCATCAAGGAAATTGGACAAGTGCAGGATTTGGATCAACTTTTGGATCCGAGAAATAACTTAACGTATAAAGTGCCGTTTTTGGATTTTTCGTGTACATATCACAATCTAGGACAAAGAAGATTGGTGCATCTGTCATGGCACATGGGAGTTTATTGAATATGTAGAGTTTCAAAGTCACAAATCATAAGTTTAGGATTTCATACTAACATGTAGTTAGAATTTATGTCATATATGGTCCCACACGTGAGTGAGGAGTTTTATTTGTCGAAGTGTCTCTTAGACATTGTTGGCATAAAATAGTCAAAAATAGCTGAGGTGGAAGGAGAGTGTCCACGTTAAAGAGCTGTGTAGGACATAATTTTTGGGTAATATTTTTCTGCTAATATGCCACCTGGATTAATTAAGCCCACCCCGATTAGTGTAGATAGACGGTCTAATTTAACCCACCATGATATGTTATAAAGTTATGGTAAACCTCCTACACGTTTCACGTATAAGAGAAGGGTTAATTAGGGGAAATCCTTTATCTTGTTAGGAGTTGGTGGGTATACTTGTCTAAGGGCATTTTGGGGTTTTCTCTTTTGAAAATTGGAATTAGGAGCGGGATCCTTTATTTGTTGAGGGGAGCACTTTCTGTTAGGCATGTGTTTTTTTGAGTAATTGTAAATCGAGCTTAGGCTCTGGGAGAGATCTGGGCCTCTCGAAAGCCATAGGAGTATTTCTTTCTCTGTAATTTCAATTCAATTTTAATCAATCGACACCAGTTTACATCAAGTTATTCATCTTATGTTCATATTAAATTTTACAGTTCGTTCTGGATCCCAATTGGCAAGTTGCTGCCGGAGAAGAAAGCAAAGAACTGGAGGTTGAAAGTCAACGCGAGATGAGAGTGCTCGAAGCTGTCTATCCACGACCATCTGCCATCCCTCCAAAGTTGGTTTACTCGCCCTCTTCTGAATCATATTTCTTCTATTTTTTATTTTTTATTTGTCACATATTTGTCGTTTTAAAGTGCGAATGTCTCTCTTCTTTTTGCAGCCCTGCATCAGCAATGGGCGCAGACGAGCCATATTACAATGATCAGCACACTCCTCTCATCCCCATCACTCCCATTGAAGATGAAGACATGGCACCTGATTCATCATCTATAGCAGCCAATACAAGCTTGCAGGCTCCTGCAACTATGGCTACTCAGTCGGGCAATGGAGGGATGGTCTCTGGGGTCGAACCAGATGTAGTGAGTGCCGCCTATTCTGCTCTGAATGCAGCAATGTCAAACGGCAGTCAAGGAAGCCTGATTGATCCTAACCTGCTCATCAAAATTCTGAGCAACCCAACTTTAATTGAGAAACTAGTGTCATCTACCCAAGGACCATCTGCATCTGGTCCACAAATATCTCAAGCTCTCTCTATGCCCACATTGCCAGCCATATCTGTAGCTGAGCCACCACCACCACCACCACCTGTCCATGGTCGGACCACCCACCTCCCATTCTCGACAGCATCATCTTCCTCCAGTAATGCTCATTATCCTCCAGCAAGCAGGGTGGGACCTGTTCCTGTTCCTGTTCCGGCTTCCAATCTGGCGCCACCAGAAGTGAATCCAGCAAAGAAGGATATAAATTATTACAAGAGCCTGATTCAGCAGCATGGTGGAGAAAAAGCAGAATCAGTGAATAGTAATAATGTAAAAACAAGGGGGGATACGAAAGGGAAAATAATGAAGCCTTGCATCTATTATAATAGTACAAGAGGATGTCGACATGGAGCAAATTGTGTTTTTCAGCACGATTCTTCGTCGTCGCAACAGCAGCAGCGAGTGAGTTTGCCAGATTCGAAAAGAATGAAAATGGATAGTAGGGAGATTAGTGGTACATAAATTGATTCAACGTCCATTTTTGAGTTTGGTGTAAATGGTGCATTGCTGCTTGGGTGGGGTGGGGGGTACTGCCAAAGAAATGGGATCGATTTTTCTCTCTTTTTGATTTTGATATTGTTTTTTCTTTTAATCCAAAATTTTGGTCCCTTCTTTCTCATGTTTTGCTTAACATTTTGTTTAATGGAAAATGCTACCATTCTTATTGTTTCTTTTCATTTACATAATCGTAGATATGGTGTTAACAAATTGAAGATTTTGATAGATTTTAGTTTAATAAATTGTGTATTAACTATGAGTAATTATATACCATGAAAACTAACATAAAAAGGGAACCCATCGACTCCAATTATCATCCATACTAGATCTGACCAAGTGTCCATTTTTAATGCATTTGCCCTGCCCAAGATAAAGAAAACTCATCTTTGTCTCCTACGTCTCTCTCACCCTCCCTTCCGTCAAACCATTGACCTTTCTAGCGAAAACCCCTTTCTCAACAGCACCGGTGAACCCCATCCTACGCACCACCATGGTTATGGTTAAACTTCTCCGTCAAGCACTACAAAGACACAGAGGGGTTAGAGCTGTAACCAAACCACCATAATTACTGTTGGAGCTGAATGTTTTGGGTTTGTTGAACTGAAGGGAAGGGTCACCAGGGAAACTGTAGTTTTGGTCCCTAGAGGAGGTGGAGGGTCGTCGTGGTTGGGTAGGAACTAGAAAGAGAACAAATTGAATGGTTTTGGAGGAAATAGAGAACGAGAATAGTTGCCGGTTAGTGGGGGAGAACGGTGGCCGGTTGAGCCGGAGAACTGTTTGGGTGGAGGTCTCAAGTTAGGGACAATGGACAGAATATATATAAGCGAAGCGAAGGATGGTGTGAGAAATGTAAAATTAGATCTGAACTCGTAATCAGTTTTAATCTCATGTCTTTCTATAAATTATGTTTTAGCGAGGAACTGGTATATCTCTTTAGCATTGACATTCAATTAAGATTGATCAAATAATGAGGATCTCTTTCTTATGTTTCTCACTAAAACTTTCTTTTTCACTGAAACTCAACTCAGAATATTCTTGTAAATAATGGCCAATATCGGGTATATAAATAGTGATTTCAAATCCAAAAGTTAATCATACTTTGACAACTTTACGTAAGGCAAAGTTTGTTTTTTTGGAGAGATAATGAAAAAATTGATAGATAAGTCACTTTTACTTCCACTCTTCATAATCGTACATGAGATTTTCATATTATATTGTTTCTCGTTCATATATAGAGGCTTAATCATTTGAAAACCGCAAATATGTGAGATTCAACTTAAACCACTAATTTAAGATAATTAATTTTATTAATTAATGAAATAATTAAGGAGATGATTATCTTTATTTATTATATCAAAATTAATGCATTAGGAAATTCCATATTTAAATACTCTACTTTTTTTTTCTTCCTATTACCATATTAACATATACATCATCCATACTAAATAAACATATTGTGAACACAATGTAATTACATTTTTGGTCATCATGGTTGCCATTTTATTTCACTTTTGGTCTCTCTGACTAACTCAAGTTAACAAGGTTAGTTAACTTTTTTTCTTTTTTTTCTTTTTTGTTTATTTTATTTGGTCAATAGTAAATTAAAATATTCATCCCTTTGGTTTGTTTATTTTTTTCTTCTCATTTTTTGTCTTTTCTATCATTTCATTTTCGCTTTCATTTTATACCCCTTATTATATTAATTAATTAATGATAATATGAACTCTCAATAGAATATAAATAGCACGATAAGGGTTTCATCATGTTTCTTGAGAGCATGGCGTGGAGATATGGTGTTTCAAGCATGAACATTGTGCAAAAAAAGTGATACCTCTTAAAATTTCAACTATCATGCATGCTTACGTATACTTATACGATGTCGTCGTATCCATCTCGATTCAAAACTGAGAACTTGAAATATTATTTATGTTTTTTTTCCGCTCTTCTTTTATCGATCCCGATGCAAGTTTTATACTTGTATAATGTAGTTGTTAGTAAATTTTGAATAGATGCGAGTAAAAGTATCTAGTATAGATTTGTATACATGATTTTTATCAACAATAACCATAGTATATTATTGATATAGATAATATATATATATATTTGTATGTATTTATGATACTTTATAATATTGTTAAATCCATAAATATTCATTAATGAGCTTATTTTGAAGGTCTCGACGAAAAAATTATAATAGTATGATGTATAATAAAAAAACATACTTTTAATATATATTAGTTAATCTATGATTACATACTTTTATTACGTTAAAAATGTAAAAATAAAAAGTAAGGATACAAACAAATAATTGTGGGAATTCGTGATATTTAATAGTATAATTAAGAAAAAATTGTATTAAAAAGCAACCAACTTTAACTTGATTCCTATTTTAGGGAATCAACTTTCAAAATTATCATTCAAGGGTATGGATCAAAGTTTTTATTTATTTAAGAGTCTGGTTAACCGGTTGAATAGGTAACCGGTAACTTAAAATGATGTGGCAAATCATAAATTAAAAGATTATTTCCTGGAAATTTATATTGCCAAATCATCCCACTCCAAACTCCATCTTACCATTCTCCCTAGTCCTTCCCTCCCACCCATCTTTTCTCCATGCGCCATCTTGCCGTTCTCTTTCCCTCCCGCTTCTCCGACGATGCTTGTCTGCTCTTATTGTTGAATTATGTACCAAAGGAATAGCATAGACTTTAAACAACCAAAATCGAATATGGCTTCCATGTTACATACATATCCACTGTGGATTGATGTGTTCAAGGTTTGATTTTAAATTCGAAACAACAATCATTGAAGGGGTTCTACCCAAGCTTCGTTTAATTTCTTATTTTAGAGTAAAATTCTAATTTTCCCATTAACCATTTTGCTAAATCGTATTGTGGAGAATATGAAAGAGGGCCGCCGGGAGCAGGGGATCATTACCAAAGTTTCCGGAGCCACGGTGATGTAAGGGAAGAAAGATGTAGGGACTAGAGGGAGGAAGACGTTAGAGTAGAAGGAGATGAAGATGAACTCATAGATCAATCTGAAATAGAGCAGCTGTGCTATAGTGACAAAAGAGGGCCAAATACACTTTAACAAACCTCTGGTCTCTCTCGTTGGAGCATCCACCGATTTCCTGAGCAAGGAGATGAAGATTGTTAACTGAGGGAGTAGAGTTTGGTGAGATTTGATTTTGGTGATGAAGCAAGGATAGTTGCAGGTGGTGAACCGACGGAAATGAGGAGGAGGAGACTAAGGTCTAAGGATGGGATTAGGGTTTTTTCAAAAATTAAATGTTTTAATATTAATGTAATTAGGACTTGTACAATATGATGGAGTTATTGCTTTTATATAAAAAAATAATTATGCCATATCATGATTATTAGTGCTATGTCATTTCTTTTATTTTTATTTTTATAATTTTAATAATGACATGRAATCTTAGTTGGCAGATTACTTGGATTATGTGATCATTAATAGGTTAATAGGTTAATCGGGTCCTTAAGGGTGCGTTTGGTACGTTGGACAGGGTGGGACAGGACAGGACAGAA